TGGCCGAGGACCTCGCACAGAGGGAGGCTGAAAATGAGAAGCTGGCCGAGGACCTCGCAGAAGGAGGCTGAAAATGAGAAGCTGGCTGAGGACCTCGCGCAGAGAGGGAGGCTGAAAATGAGAAGCTGGCCGAGGACCTCGCGCAGAAGGCTACTGAAAATGAGAGCCTTGCTGCCGTTCCGGTTTTGGGTTGTAATTCGTTGGAGGATGGACTGCATAGTGTGGTTAGTGTTGAGGCAGACGAAGCAGAAATTAACTCTCTGCGGCTTAAGGTGAGCGAGTTGGAGGAAGTTGTTGATGCTAAGAACAGCCACTTGGAAGCTCTAAATGGGCGGCTTGAGTTGCTGATGACGGAGCTCAGCGAAAAGCGAGAGGAGCTGATTTGCGTGATCGGCGAGTTGGACGACTTTGTGACAAGGTTTGAGAAGGCGCGTGAGGGAGAGAAGGTGGCTGTTGAAAGGCTTGCCGAGAGGGATCAGGAGGTCTTTGAATTGGAGGGCATGCACAGTAAGCTTCAGGCGGACCATGAACATATTGTATTGGTGCTGCAGGAACAGGTGGAGCAGCTTCGTTTGCAGCGTGTCGAGGATGCTGCCTCGTGTGAGGCGTTGAAAGGCAACATTAACGCCCTACGTAAGGCGTTACAAGAGGCGCAGGCAAGTTTAGGGGAGAAAAACATTGAAATAGCTCGCTTGAGGGAGGAGCTACTTTCGCAGCAGGAGGAGGCGCAGGAGCTCATTGACAAGGTCGCGGACGAGCGAGATCAGAAGTCGGCAGAAGTGAGTGACTTGCTAAAGAAGCTCGAGGAGTTCGTTGAGCTTATGGAGGGGATTCGCAAGTCTGAGGAGGAGGCGCTTCAGCGGAGCGCTTCAGCGGAGCGGGCACTTGACGAGGCTCAGGACGAGTTGAAAAGGCTTCGCGCCCGGCAGGCCAAGCAGTGGGAGGCGTTCGGTGGCATGTCGGGGGCGAATGCACCTCGTGCTTCGCTTGATGAGGCGCGCAACCTGCAGGAACACGTGAAGAAGAACAAAAGTTTGCAGTTGTGCGTGAAGCTGCTGATGGATGCCCTGTTGAAGAATCAGGGCACCTTTGCTGCGGCGTCAGAAGAGTTAGAGGACGTCTGTGGCACCCTGTCGAGTTTGCAGGAGGAATGAGGGCGCCGCCACGGCATGAGAAGAGAGACGTAAAAGAAAAAAAACATTGGAGGGAACACGCTGCCCGTTTGGTTATATATATATATATGTATTGTTGTTGTTCAGTTATTTTTGTTCCTGTGGCTCTTTTCTTAGTGTGTAGGCGGTTGAGGAGGGGGAACAAAAACACGAACAAAAACTTTCTGACGATGGGCACATATTTGAGGATGATTGGGGAGTTCCTTTTTGTTGAAGTGGTGTGCGTGTGCGTAGAGGTGGGGGTGGGTGGCGTTCGCTTTTTCATATGTGTTATTTTCACTTGGTTATATTGTCCTCTCTCTCTCTCACACTGTGTATGTATGTGTGTTTGCGTTGCTTGGGGGTTCAGTGGTAATTTTTTGTTGAAAACGAAACAAACAAAAGGTACGCCGACGACGCACTGAGTGATGTCTCAAACCGGTGGTGGCGCTCCGCGGCACACGTATCTTCTCACGGTCACCCAGGGTGTTTTGTTTACTTTTTTTGTTTGGGTTGTTAAGGCACTCTGGCCGCGTTTCCAACTAAAGGCGACTGGGCGTGACATGTGTTCTTGCCTCTGCTTTGTTGTTGTTGTTTACCCCACCCCACCATGCCGCGCCGTAGCAAGGAAGGTTTCTCCTGAAAGCACCCCTCCCGCCCCGTCGAACGCCATGTCGTCCGGAACAATCACGCTGTTTCATGGAAAATTCAGGCTGGATCGCCTCCTGGGCAAAGGCGGGTTTGGGGAGGTGTATGCCGGGGTGCAGGTCTCCACCGGCGAGCCAGTCGCGGTGAAGCTTGAGCGGAACAGGGGCTGTTGCTTCCTGTTTCATGAGGCTCGCGTCATGCAAGACCTACAGAACTCCACGCCAAACCGCTCCATGCTTGGAACCCCGGAGCTCAAGTACTTTGGTCAGGAAGGGGACTTTAGGATCCTCATCATGTCACTGCTGGGGCCGTCGCTAGAGGACCTGCACGCCAAGCTTGGACGCTTCTCACTTAAAACGACCGTGATGCTCGCGGATGAGATGCTGTCGCGACTGGAGTTCATCCACTCCGTTGGGTACGTGCACCGAGACTTAAAGCCAGATAACTACCTCTTGGGCGTGGGTAGAAACGCGCGCCACCTCTATCTAATTGATCTGGGGCTCAGCGTTTGCTACCGCTCCTCCAACGGCAAGCATCGCGAGATGGCAACAGGGAAGGGTTTTGTTGGTACCTCACGCTATGCATCCTTGCGCACACACATGGGTTTCTCGCAGAGCCGCCGCGACGACATGGAACAGCTCTCGTATATACTTATTTACCTTTATCGTGGACAACTCCCGTGGTCGGGGCTTCGCATAAAAGATCGCGATGCGAGAGAGAAGGCTATTGGTGAGATCAAGCATAAACTGACGACCGCGCAAATCTGTTCCAGGTGCCCCGCACAGTTTGAGGGCCTGCTTGCCTACTCTCGCAAGCTGGAGTTTACGGAGAGTCCACAGTATGAGATGTGCCGCATTCTCATCAAGTCCGTCCTTGACACCATTGGACCGAATGTAAAGCACGATTTCGTGTACGACTGGGTGACTGCAAAGAGAGTGGATACCCTTTCTCCATCCATTCCGCATGAGCGAAAGGCGACTGATAACAAGATGAGTCTCAGGAAAGGGGACAAGCACAAGGAAAAGGATGCACCGACGACGGGCTCAAAATTATCTTGCTTATTCCCCAAACCCCCCCAAAGTGCGGAGCAGGATCTTGTCGTATTGAAGAAAAAATGACTTTTCTATGTTTTTTTTTCTTCACAAATGTACTGAGGGCCCAGAGACAACGCAATGAAAGATATATATATATATATATATATTGAACTGTTGTGCTTTCTATAATAAGGTCGATGCGTTCTTTTTGGGTTTTTTTTTTGGTTGTGTATTTGATTGATTGCTCTCATTGCGGCTTGCTTCCAGTACGAAAGCCCGAACCTGAGTCGCTGTGTTGCGTCACGGGTAATATTTTCCAGTGGTCGTGTCTGCGTGTGTGCGTGCGTCGCCTTCATGTTTTGTTTTGTTCTTGCGGCGTCCTTTCGAGTTCCGCTGCCCCCTCCTAAAAGTTATACCCAACACGCGTCGGAACGGCATGCGTACACGTATGCGAATCAGCACACGCACGTATGCTGTTTGCTCTGATGGAAATGCGACGCCGTATGTCTTCCTATTGTTTTTGAAGTTTGGATTTCGGCCTTGACAGGGCTTTTCTCCCGCGCTGTCTTTTTGTTTTGCTTGTTTGTTTTGTTTTGTTTTGTTTTGTTCGTTTGGCGTTTTGTAACCGCGACGCCGGCGAAGCCTGTGGGGGGCGCCAGCCCCGCGCCCACCCCACCCAAAAGCACACACCGCCCCCAATATCCTTCCTCCGCTTCTGCGGAGGTATAGCGGCGCGTGTATTTATACACACCGGCATGCGAACGTTATATGTCTTTCGGGCATTTGTTTTTTTCCGGTCACCCCTGCTTTGCTGCCAATTCTTTTTTTCAGGCGCGTGCCAAAGGTTTGGGTGGCGTGAACTCTTTTTTTCTTCTCAGTGTTTTCTTTCGCGGCGGTAAGTGTACCCAACCCCCCGCGCTTGCCGTGCATAGTCTGCGCCGAAGGGTGCGTGTGCGCGCGGCGGGGCAACAAGGGCTGGCGCGGGGCCTGTGCTGTTATGCTGCGTGCCCTCAGTCGCGCCCCCAGGCGCCGAGAACGGACACACGCCCACGCTTTTTCAGTCCGCTTGCGGTTTGGGCGCGGCATCTCGCTGAGATTCAGGGGCCGAGGCCGGCGTGAAGCAGGGAGAAAGGAAGGGCCGATGCGCGCGCCACCCCCGTGCTAAACCAACTTCGCCGACAGTTCTCCGGGCACGCCGGTGTGTGTTTTTCTTTCCGCCCGCGCAGCCACCGATTACCTCGCGCCCGCCACGCTTCTTTTCATGTTTTCGTTGCCCTCGCCCCAGCTCCGAAAGGAAGGATCGGCAGCGCAACTTAAGAAAACGCACCGCACCCTGCCGCAGAAGCCGCCACCACCCCGCAAGCATTTTGCGAGTGGGTCGCGCATCCGCCTTACGGCGCCCGCCCCCAAAAGAAAGAATGCAGATCCCCTTTGAACAGGGGCAGTGCGCGATAGGGATAGGGGGTTCTGGGGGGAAACCCTTCTCGGATGCCTGGGGGGGGCCGCTGCCCTCCAGAGGGAATTGCGTCGGCGCCATTTACGACTTTGTGCGAGAATTTAGACGTTGAATCCGAGCCCCCCTGCCGGAGTCGCCTCCCCTTAGAAAAGTGGGGAAGGCAGAGGAAGTGCAATTTGGGATTTGGGATTTTTGAGGCACGTTGTGCTAAAAACGATAAAACAAAAGAAGCCGACACAAAGCAAGACAAACTATTAAAGCAGCAAACTAAAAGGAGCTCTCTCCCCCAGCAGGCTGGCGCCGCCGTCCGCGTTGTTGCAGGCTGTGGGCAAACCAGGGTTTGGGCGACCGAGCACCCCGCAAAGGAACCGAGCCAGCAGCCAACCAAAGCAACGCCCGGGCACCCCCAATCTCTCCAAGCCTAATTTGCGCCGCCGGGACGCAAGACACGCACAGCAGAATAAAATGTGCCCCGGCGCCTCCTCACTCAGGCTGCTGCGAAACCACGGCATCTTTCTCCACC